CGTGTGTTTATGTTGTTTCTTGATTTGTGTGCTGAGTTTTCTTGTGTTTGCTCTCAAATGGTGCTTCTTTACGTGTGCACTGTGCACTGTTGCCTTCTGCCTATGCCGTTTGTTTTTCGGCTTTGCTGTACTTGCCTGTGTAATGATTCTGCCGTGGTTCTCTCGATGTTTGCTGCGATGTCTTCGCAACCTTTCTTCAGAAGTTTCTCATTGCGCAAGCTTTCATCGCAGCCTTTGCACAACAGCTCTCTCGCTCTCTCTCTCTCTTTCTCTTTCTCTTTCTCTCTCTCTCTCTCTCTCTCTCTCTCTCTCTCGAAAGAACCGATTTTCACATGTGGAGAGCACCTCGGAACGCCATTCTTCCAAGAAGCCCGAGCGAGTTGCGTAACGAATTGCCTTTGAGAACTAGTCTGCGTATAGTCTTCAAGTCCCAAGCTTTCTGTCCATTTCTGCGCTTCTTGCTGTTGGCGTTGCTTCTTCCTGCGGGCCACGGCTGTTCAGCGCGCCTGCGTTTGTCGCAAGTTTGGGGCGAACCCCGTTTGGTGGTGTGGAGCATTTGTGATCTGTGGTCAGTCCTTGTCTTGGTCAAGCGGCGCTTGCGGTTCTTGCTCAATCCGTGTGATTCCTGGGTCAAGTGGACGCACGAGCCATTCCAGCCTTGGCCGTATAACCACGAAGCAACAGTGCTTCTATTTCCGTCTGTGCCCTGAGGATCAGTGCTGGAAGGACACTGCTCCAAGCACATCTGCACTGCCCCCCAAGCCCCTCCTGTTGTGAGAAGCCACGAGTCACTCAGAGAACGTATGGCTTGGGATACCAACGGCATTCGCTGTTATCGGCCTTTCAGCCAGGACTTGACATACTCGTACACACGCCGGGTCCTTGCAGCTTACCAAAAAGGGCAACTGTGCCCACACGAGCGTATCATGCTCCACTTCACGGACACGGAAGGAAATCCGCCCTCGAAGGCTGGGCAGACACACAAAACGGTTCCGGCGCCTTCACCAAACATTCCGCGAGAGGAAAGCTTGAGAGAGGTGTTGAAGCGGTGGAGACTTCAGATATTTGGCCGGTGGGGATCGGAGGTCATAAAAAACGTTGCATACGTGATGCCCCTCTGGCACAGCTCGAGCGTCTGGCAGTTGAGAGTGGCCAATGCGACAGTCTGAAAATAGCGATCGAGGAGTTGCAAGACCTCTTTCCGCCGAGGCAGAGACGCGTTCCAGGTTCCACAGATGCCTGATCCCATGTAAACCCGAAAACTTGGCCGCTCAACTGAGGCCCGATGGGAAAATCCTAAGAATTGCGAAAAGATCTCCAGCTGCCATAGTGTTGGTCGATATTGGTGCCCTTCTCTCTGCGTGTTGTTGCAGTTTGCTCTCTAAGTTTGCTTACGTGTTCCTTGTTGATTCCAGGGCTTGAGAGAGGGAGAGAGGGAGAGGGAGTGAGAGGTGCCCCCCGGGCTCCTACATCTGGGGTGGCGCACTGCAGGAGGTGCCGACATTCGGCAGCGTATGATGTTAATCTCAGAAATTATCAACTAAGATGAGTTTTCTTTTTCAGGTGACCATGTCCTGTGGGGCCTCCGGGCAGTGGCTGCATCGGCCCAAGAAGCTAAGAGATTCTCGGAAAGCCCGCACGCCCAACCCCCCCACCCCCGACCCCCGCCCTTTCAAAGAATGAATATTTGGGTTTAGAGCTTTGAGGCTTTGCGCACCCTGTTGGAAACAGCGCTTGTGTGTTCGAAAGGTCAGACTACTGGTGCGTGAACCCCTTGGACAAGGACTCGACTGAGAAGGGGAGCATGAAGGAACAGTTTGGGACATATTTCTCCAAGTATTTCATGGATCACGCTCACAGCCTGAACCCTGAACAAGCTTAGAGAGGAGAGCAAGGAAGGGTAAAGCGGGGGCGCAACTCAGGAGGCTCAGAGTCGCATGGCTGCGATGGAGCTTTGGCCACGCAGCAAAAGAGAGAGAGAGAGAGAGAGGGAGAGAGAGAGAGAGAGGGAGAGCGAGAGAGAGGGAGAGAAGAAGACCAAAAAAGGCAACAGGCCGCGACTCCCGTGAGAAAGTTTTGATTGTTTCTTCAGGCTGGATGTGTTTTCTGTGCTGCTGTGCATGGTCTCAGCCGCCATGGCTGCCGGCCTCACTTTGGCACGGCGCCCAAGTGCAGAACGCCCTATGCTTGACGGAGCTTGTTGTTTGTTTCGGCTGGCCTTCATCTGTTGAAGGGGGCGCTGTCTGCCGCTGTTTTTCAAGTGCCAAGCACATGAGTGCATGGTCATGTCGGAGTTCTCTTCGCGCCTGAAAGCGACAAAACCCAGCACAAAGAGCACAAGATCTCTGTGCACAGGAGAACAAAGCCTCACAAAAACTCCCTGCACCTACTTGGGAATTCTGGGGAAGAGGGGATAGGGGATGGGGCGCCGGGGGGGGCCTTGGAGAGGCTTTGAGAGAGGACCGCTCTTGTTGGTGAGCGACCGCTTCTCTCTCGGACGGATGCTGCTCAGGCTTTCGGAAAAGGCCACACGCAGGCATGAATTGTTGAACAAGAATGTTTTGCACCAGAGTTGATGATTGAGTTTTGGACTTGGAGATGAGGGCGACATGAACCGAGTCCTTGATTGCTAAGAGCGTGCGCAATAAGGGGGGAGGGGGGGAAGAGGGGGGGAGAGAGGAGGGGGAGAGAGGAGGGGGGAGATGGGGGGAGAGCAGGACTATGTTTGTACTGCCGGAAACTGAGAGAGGGGGAAGGCCCCAAAAGCGAGCCCGTACAACCGCAGGGTTTCATGGAGGTACTACGTTTGTACTGCGGCGGATGTTTGTACTACAGGAAGAGGAGAGGTTGGGAGGCTCCAAACGCTCTCGTCGTCAAGTATTCCCTGGTGTGGTTTTTCACACATTCTTGCAGAGTCAGCCACAGTACCGGTCTTGAAGGTGCTGCATGTTCCTGATTACTGCAGACAACGGAGCTGAGCAAGTTCTTGTCTCAGGCTAGGGTCTCGTTGGAAGAGCCTCCTTTTGAGGATATCGACGGGACTGGGCTGCACTTTGAGCGGCAGGCTGACAGGCAGCTTGCCAATGCTGTTCGGGTAGACCTTCACGTGGCGAAGCTCCTTAGAGAGCTGGTTACGCTGACCGCCCGGCAGTGGTTCTGCCTCGAAGCCCCTGATCGTTGAGGCATTTTTGCCAGAGTCTTTCAACGAGACGGTCGCGCTGGAAAGTGCTTTGGGAAGCCTGCCCGGAAGCTGTGTTGCTCAAAGGGACTCCCAGAGGAGCTGAAGGTCTCGGTATCTGAGGCCATGGGCACGACCGTGGAGAAAGGCTTTTTGAGCCTTGGGCTTTGCAACACCAAGTGGCCCTGAGCCATAAAGTCCCAGCTGGGGGCGGGCAGGTGGTGGAGTTCCTCCTCTGCCACCTCCACGCAAGAGCGGTTCGTCAAGTTGTGTGCAGAATCGAGCACCGGGGACACGATTTGGCGCAGCGCGGGCTGCAAAAGTGTGGAGCGCACGTGTTTGGGGGCGGAGGCCCCAAAAAGCAAGCACGTCACAGAGGTACTACGTTTGTATTGTGGCGGTTGGAGGGCAGGGAGGGTGGCCCGAAAAGCGCGCGTGCAAGCGCCGCGGCGGGCCCGGCGGCGGCGGCGGCGGGATGCAGCACCAAAAGCAAAACCCCCACACGGCCACACGGTGATGTGGGGAAAACGAAAGCACGCATACGACGAGCAATGACCAATTGCCGTACGATGTAGGTCGACAAACGACAAGGCTCTGATGCGCCTGTGCCGCAGGGACGCCGCGCCGCGATTAGCGGTCGAGGGACTATCACGTGCAAGCACGGCTGTATCACCGGCTATGTAAACTAGTGTATTTTGGAGGTTCCCCCACCCCGTCTGCACTGTTGGTCTCCGATGTGCTTTATCGAGTTTACCCTGGTGAAGTGAAAAGGCCCTGGATTGGATGCTGCGGCGTCCGTCTGGGTTGTTGTTTCCCGTTGGAATTGTTTCCCACTCCTTTGTGAAACAAACCCCGGGTGCGAGATTCATTGGGAGAGATGAATGGGTGCTAATGGGTGATAAAGAGCCCCAGAGGCATCACAGCATCCACATCCAGGGCGTGCTCACTTCGCACGGGAGAACAACTGGGAGACAACTGGGAGGCAAACAGGCCCAGACAAGGACCTTTTTTTGCACGTCCTTACACCAAATCGGCTTCAGTCAAATGGGCAAGGGAGCCAAGGGAGGGGGTCCGACAGACTTGCCAACGGAACCTTCGGTTCTAACTTGCAGTTGTGTGTGCCTTCGGGGGCCTGAAGGGGGGGGGGCTAGACAGGGACTTATGGTGCCATCCATATGTGCTGTCGTCATGTACTGTTCTAGTTTGTTTTGTCTTTTTCCTTTCGCCCCCTGGTTTTCCGTTTGGGATGCACGAGTTTTCCGTGCGCGCTTTCCCAATACGGATTCCTCTTTCTTGAGGGCCTGGCCACCGTGGAGCCCTTCGGCTTGCAGGTGGTGCTGGCTGCACGGCCAGAGGAGAGTTCTCAAAAGCATCAAGTGCAGCTGCAGCGAGCCCTATGACAAAGAGAGCACCAAAAAGTCCCCCCAGCTCGTGTCTTGTTTTTGTCAGAGCATGTCCGACGAGCACACGATCGCTTCATCGATCTGCCGCTACGCTGAATCGCTGAATCGCTGAATCAGGACTGCACGTCGCAGGAGGAGCGGGCCAAGCTGAAAGCTGAGCAGGCCCATGTCCACAGTCAAGAAAAGTCTAGTCAAGTCAGATCACTCAAGTTGCGATCCTTCCTGTTGCAGGATTTTGCTGTTCGCATTCTTCCTTTGGCCCAGAGCTTTGCAGACATAGGAACCGACAAAAGAAAGAGTGGCGCCAGCGAGGTCAAGGACCACCACCTGTTGTTGGTCACGCTCCTTCTCTTCAACACAGTGGCCAACGAGGCTGGAAAGATACTGGCAGTAGCTGAAGAAAAGAGAGGGAGAGAGGGAGAGCCCTAGCCTTGGAACAGGCAGCAGAACTCCAGACAACAGAGCTCTCAACTCCAGAGCGAGAGAGAGGGAGAGAGGGAGAGAGAAACACATATATAAAGAATGGGAGCTTGTTTGTTTGCTCTCTCCTCTCAGCCTTGGGGAGGCTTTGCCTGTCTTCCTCGACAGGCGCGTATTCCCCCAACCCAAACCAAGCGCTGCTCAGCCGCTTTGCTCGCCGAAAACTACATCCCCCTCTTTCCTTTTGTCAGGCTGCTGCCTTCCTGGGCGGCCGTGCTGCTGTCGGTGAGTGCTCGACCCCCGCTCGACAGATTCACAAGATTCTCCGAGATTCTCGTGAGGTTTTTTCTCGGTTCTGAACCGCGTGCAGAGGTCGTCCTCGTCTGCGGCGAAATCCTACCTTCAGCTGCCGCTCGGCTCAGACAGGAGAGAGAAGCTAAAAGAAGAAGACTCCGAGTGCTTCGCGAGCGCGCTGTGCTGAGGTCTTCACCGGCCCGAACCAGTTTGCCATCGCCTCCGCCTTGGTGCCGCTGGTGCAGCTCCTACAGGCGCGGGCCGAAAACCTGGCCTCTGGCCTCTTCCGAAAAAGCCTCTTCTCTTCAGGAGGAGGAAGAGCACGCAGCTCTTGCAATGAAACGCAGAGTGTTCTCAGCGTTTTTTGCCTTTCTTTGGGAGAGGTCCTCTTCTTCCCGGTGGCCCGCCCCATCGCCGCTTTCTCACGATTCCAGAGCTGGAAGGGGGAGAGGGGTTCTTCTTTCTTTGATTTGGAAAAAGCATTTATTGGAACCAGGCCAACGTCTTGGACCAGATGTTCAAAGATGAGGCAAGAGCGCACACAAGAGCGCACACAAAAGTTGCGATTGACAGACTCTGCAGCAGTTTCTTCGTGTGTTTTCCCGATCTTTCTGGGGAAACGTTCTTTCATTCTCTTTGTTCTGAACTGGTCTCAGCAGCAGGTCCCCGAGGAGGGCGGCCCCAAGTACTCCCGCGCGGAGCTCCGTGCAATGCAGGGCCCCCTATCGTGGAAGAAAGTGTCTCTGCTGAAGAGTGAAAGCAACGAGGCCCCCCCCCCCCCCCTTTCTCCCTTCCTTCCCTTCCTTCCCTTCCTTCCCTTCTGCTTCCCCCCCCCTTGCAGAAAATCACGTTCCTTTCCTCTCTGCAGTTCTCCCCTCACCATGTGCCACGAAAATCGGGAAGAACGAAGCGGGTGCTACAATAAGACTGATCACGCCCGATCCATCCTAGCAGCGAAGCATTCCACATCTCCACCCTGCTACCAAGCAGAGTTGAGAGATGTTGAGAGCTTATATTCTGCCATTTTCGCGTGCTTGTGCAATGCAACACTTGTATCTGGGCTCTTCAAGGGCTTGTAAAAGTCTCTTGCCGATCTGCACTTTGCCCTTCCAAGCCTCCTTTGCCATTTGGAATCTGTACGTCTGCCGATTTTGTGAGTTTTGCGTATAGAATTACAAGAATTAGGTGGGTTAAAGCTTGAGATACACGCAGAGAAAGTTTGTTTTTTCCGTGCTATGTTCCAAGCGCGGCAAATTTCCCACGTCTCAAGCTTGACAGGCTTCTGGCACAGAAAATCTCGGCACTTGGGTCTTGCAAACGCAGAAAAATTGGCTTTTCTCCTTGCTGGTTTCGGGGCGCAGCAGGTAAACTTCCTGTTTCCTGTGAGCCAACCCGTCTCTTGTATCCCAAGCTTGGCTTTTGGCGCATGCCTCGGCACGTGGGCATCCTGTCTCGCGAGCAAACTCGAGATGTCATCTCGTTGGGGAGGCATGGAAAAGCTATCCTTTTTAACTTTTTGTCCGTGAGGCAAGATGTCTCGCATAGAGATGGCGCTGAGAGTTTTGTTGGCAAGACAAGATACCCACGTGCCGCTGTGCACGAGAAGCAGACTTCTTGGCTGTTGCAGGACGCAGGAAACTGTAAGCACAACGCGAAAAGGCGGCACTGCATCGGTTCAGCAAGCGCTTCAGGGACTCATCTTAGTGGAAATGATGAAAATGGCGAATGGCCTCACATGTCACAAACAAGGAGAATGAGCACGCTTTGAGCTCAGCAAAGGCTCCAGACCGATGAAAGTTGTTTGTTGCATCGCCCGCTCGCAGCATTTCGCATTTGAGTCTCAATGCTCGAGGAGCCCAGAAATCTGATTGTTTTTTCTAGGGCTTACTAGGGCCACCAGGGATATGGGGTTCGAAGCGGTTTCACTATCAGGCTCCGTGCACGTGAGTTGTCTCTGCCGAAAATGTATGTGCCGTGCGTGTGGCTTCTGGTGCCGTTGATGTTTGTGTCATTCTGCGAGAGCTCAGTCTGCATGCGGAATGTGGAATGTTGCCCATGTTGCCCATGTGCCTCATCGCGAAGAGAGAGGGGGGGATGTTTTTCGAGCGGAAGGTTGGTGCTCCATGGCCCCGAAGAAGAGGAGGCAAGCAAGGCCGAGCCGAGAAAGTCAAGAGCAAATATGTCAAGAGATAGGAAAGAGAGGGAGAAAGAATTGAGAGCAGAAGGGAAGGAGAGAAGGAGAGAAGGAGAAGGAGAGAGACCGGGAAGGAGTGGCAGAGGTGCGTTGTGACCGCTCTCCTTTAAGTTCTCTGTTTTCTGTGTCTCTTCAGGAAAGCCAAGAGAGTCACGGCCACTGCTGCGCTACGGGTCCGCTAGGTCTGCGCAGTCTGCACAGTCTGCACTCTCCCTTTTCTCTTGAAAGGGCTTTCCCTCCCACTTTCCTCACCTTTCCTCCTCTTTCCCTCCTCTTTTCTATGCTCTTCTCTTCTCCATGCTCTTCTCCTTTTTCAAACTCCGCAATTCCGCCATTCCCTCTCTCAGAGCTTTCTCTCTTTGCAGCGTGAGAGTTTTTGGTCGGAAGACTTCTACGGCAAAATGTCTCTCTGAGAGGCGATGCTCATGGGCCGAAGGACGAGGCGTGCGCGGTGCCAGTCGGGGTGTGAACCACCGTGAACCACGGTGAACCACCGTGAACTACTGTGAACCATCCCCCCTCTTCTCAAAGTCATGTCGAACAAGAGAAAGAGCCAAACAGAGAAGGATAAACAATTATTTACTTCGAACATCCTCCGCAAGCGCTCGGGCGCGGCCAAGTATGGCGGTCTTAGGTTGAACCCAGGTGACACTCACGCTGACTGTACAGAGGGTTGTTCCGCGTGCTCCACCCACGGTCATTGCCCTGGAGTGTCTTGTTGTCGAAAGCCCCAAAATGCCAGCCTCAAGCTGGGCGGGGCTACGACGAAAGAGGATCCTTTTACCTGGCCCAGGAGGTGGGTGTCCCAGCACCCTTTGCCCCCACTTTCTGGAGGGCTTCCCCCTTTTGCACTCCTGTTCAGGAGGCCCCCCTTGCTGGGTGGGTATTGTCATACAAATCCCATGAGACTGTGGCTTGCGCCCCCTGTGAGAAGGCCAGGTGGCATTCTTCGAACACCCTTTCTTGCTGGAGATACTCTGGGGTTGGCCACTTCAGGGACACTCTGGGGCACTCCGAGGACTCTGGGGTTGGGCACTCCAGGCAGAATCTGGGGACAAGGGAGACTCTGGGGTTGGTCGCTCCAGGGACACTAGAGTTGGGCAGGGACACTTTGGGGGAAGAGTTCCGGGCGGCCCTGTTGACGCTTTGTGCAGGACGTTGAGGACGAGGCGTCGAAATCGAGATTTGCACTGCGGAGAGCTCTCTGTGCTAGTCTGCTAGTCTGCTAGTCTGTGCTTCGCAATGCGACCTTGAAGGTCATCGCCAAGTCCGAGCTTCGGATGCTGGATGGGGCATCGCTCTGAGGGGGGGGGGGGATCTTGAGAGAGAGCGCTGTGGAAGTCGGCTCAGCTCATCCATGCGGCATCATGGGGCCGTTGTTCTTTCGGAGGTTCTGAGCCTGCGCGACCGCTATCTCTCCCAGCTGCGGTGCTTCACACCTCTGAAGCTCTGCCGCATCGCCAGCGGCCAGGAGCAGGTGCCAGTAGAAGGACCATGAAAGACCATGTAAGGGCCAGCTGGGCCAACTGCACTTCTGCAGCACAAAGGATGGCGACTCCCCAGGCCCAATGGGTTTTGCTTGTTTTTGTCTTTGCTGCAGGCTGTGGATGTGGTGGTGTTGAGCTCGGAATAACTCAAGTTTTCTCATGTCTCAATGTGCTAAGTCAAGGCTTCAAAAATTCCTTGCACGCCAGGCACGCTGCGCCTTGAATGGTGGTGACCGCTGTGTCGTAGTCTTGCGGGGCGCTCGAAGGACCCGAAGGCAAAGTCAACCGTGTGACATGGATCTGCAAAGAAGGTTGTCACAGTGAGGCATGATGGCTCCACGGCAGTGTTGGGTGCGCCACCCTCGCTCGACACCTTGAAGTTCACCGAGTTCACCCCTGAAAAACAGCTCGGTTCGGTATGCCGAATCGCGTGTGCGCCCAAGGCACGATGGTGGAGGCGGGTTGTATTGAGCTGGAAGCAGAAGCCGATATGTCAAATATCAAACATCAATGTCTGTTATCGCTTTGTCGTGAGCAGAGGCGATAGCGACACGGATGTGGGGTGCCCCCGCAGCATTCCTGAGAGCTTGCTGAACTGCCCATTTCTATCAAAAAGTGATTTGTTCTCTTGGTAGTGTCTTCTCTTCGTGTTTTCTCTCCTTTCTTTCTATGTTGTTGAGACTCTGAGAGCAGAACTGCGACGTCCGTGAGAGGTCGCCGACCTCGCCCAAGCTAAGCTTGCGGGCCTCGGCGGTGCGCGGGACTTTGCGGATGCAGGAGATGCTGAAAGGCGGATCCCAGAAGCTCAGCGAGCTCTGTACCCACATGGCCTGCTTCCAAGATCACGAGCTTCTCGGAGTGGGTTTCTGACAGTTTCTGATATTGCACCTTCCACGCAGTTCTTCTCACAACTTGGCATTTTTGGCATTTTTCTCATTCGGCGGGTGAGGTGACGGTGGACGAAGATGAATCTCTTATGGAGGCACTTGCCCAAGTGGCCAAGTCGTAAGTTCCAGCAGTTGAAGAAGTCTGAAGAAGTCTGCCAGGTCATGGGGAAACTTCGGTCGCAGAACTGCTCAAGGGCCATCGTGGCCTGGGCCTAAAGTCACCCGCACCGAGAGAACGGCCCTTGCCGGAGAGCGAAAGCGCAACGATGTGTTCTTTGTGAAGTGCACTCGGATGCTCCGGTGACTGGTTTTGCTGCTTCTGAGGTTCGGCCATCCTTGGATGGTGGGGATGCCGGGCACTCAGTTCACCCATGTTCGCACATGCTCCCATACGTTCCATACGTTCCCTCGCGCCCCGAACTGTTTTGTCTAGGACACCGTGCGAGGGGTGGTCCACGTCTCGCAGGCATTGTGCTCATGTGTTCCGGATGGGTTACTCACTTCAGGGCTACACAATGGTGCACACACAAATTGAGAGTTCTCGCATCCTGCATTGTCTGACATCATCTGCTCTCGTCTTCGGGGCCAAATCCCTTCGCCTGGTGCCTCCGGGTGGGAAAGAGCTTCCAGAGAGGTGCTGATCTTTTTTCAGGGGTGTACACTAGTGTAGACTACACCCTCGTGCAGGTGGTGTCCTTCCTTATGACGTCAAAAGACTGCAGCCGGGAAGGCACCAAAGACATGCCAGGGGGCCCAGCAGCAGACTCCAGAGGGAGAGAGAGGGAGAGGGAGAGAGATGGAGAGAGAAAGAGAGAGAAGAAAAGCAGAACAAGAAGAAAGATAGAACGAAAAAGGAAGCTCTGAAAAGGGAGAGATGGACTGTCCGAAGGACGCTGAAAGAGTCCCCCCCCCCTTCTCTTTGAGGTGGAGCCCGACCATGTCGCCAGGCCAATTCTCCCTTTGTGTTTTGGGGCCGAAGAGATTCGCAGGGGAATAATCCACAGTTTGGATGTTTGGTGGGCTGTTGATCCTTAAGGTGTTTCATTCGCCAAACCGGATGTCCAGGGATCTGCTAGGACAGGGGAGAGAAGGTTTAAACAAGTTTAAACTGTTTCGGTTATTCCCTTTGATGTCTCGAGCTTGAGTACCGGCGCTGCCTTGTTGTCAGGCTTTCGCCAGGTGGCCTCTAGTGCGCATAGGCGCGTTGCACACTCCTGCTGAGAAAGATCACATCTGTTTCGGCGTAGAGATGCTCTCTGAGAGAGATATTCGTTTTCAGAGAGTTGCTCTCAGAGCTGAGACAAAGCCTTGCATAGGCGCCATCCTCTGGCGCGCGCAAGGCCACAAAATTTTGGAGAGAAGCTGTCGAGTACAAGCGACTACTACTCATCAATCTTGTGATGGCTTGCTTCAGTTGCGTGTCTCAGTGTCTCATTTTCTTTTTTTGCTTTTCAGATCCAATCTCGACGCGGGGCTCAGCAGCACGCAGACCATGCCGCTCAGAGTGCAAAAAGCCCCAAAAACATCCAAAAAGTAAAAGATCAAAGGATCAAAAGACCCAAAGGCTAATTCTTCCAAATATCCAGTCAAAGCCGTCGAACGCTCTCTTCTCCTTCAGTCACACTCGGTCATGCTTTCTTGAATTTGTCCAGTTCTCTTCAAGTCTTCTCTCTTGTCGCATCTCCATACTCGCGCTCTCCGGATCACTTGATGTAACAAGCAGAGTTGCTTTATGTTGCTTTTCTTCTCCGGCTTTCTCCGGTTTCTGTGTTCTCTCCGAGGATGCGGTTCCGCCGCACCTGGCACCACGAGGCGCGCGTTCTGCCTCCGTTCTGCCTGCGTTCTGCGTTCTGCGTTCTGCCTCCGCTCTCTTTTCTGCTCTCTTGCTCTCTTTTCTTCCGCTTACTTTGGATGTTTTTTCTTGGGGTTCTGCATTTTGTTTTCAGCTCGCAGCTGTCCCGGAGGACGCTCCAAAACAGCAGATGGATCGCAGCCACAGCAGGTAGGAGAAAAGAGAGAGAGAAGAACTCTCCCTGTTTCACACTTGGCAGTTTCACTCCATCGCTTCCAAAACGAAAAGAGTACGGAAGAGAGGAGTGGAGTGGCGACACCAGCAGAAGCGTCGCAGCAACAGTCGAAGCAACAGACACAACAGCAACCACGACGGTCACGGGAACCCTGCCCTCCCCCTCCCCCCCAGCCCCCCCAGCCCCCCCCCCCTCCGCCAAGATCGAAAAAAGTAGATGCGAGACCGCGGTGAGAGAAAGCATCGCCACCAAGCAGCTGACCGCAAACCTTGGGAATACCACTGACCACTGCGGCGCGCTGGCAAACCAGAAAGCGTCGTCACGACGTTGAACGACGAAGTCGACAACGAACCGAATCGTGGGGACACCACCGCAGCAAAGGCCGCGAACATGGGGATGGCGGAACAGGTGAGCATCCAGGCCCTTCTTTGGGGCCACCCAGCCATTGAGAATTTGGGCCCATCAGAAATTCGCGGTGGCACACATTCAAGGTTTCATCGGACAACTCACCCAAAAATGGTCTCAGTGGGAAGCCAGCACGGCACGTACGTCAGCCCCCTCCAGCCGACCCTTTGGACTGAACCCATCAGCAATTCCGGGTCCAGGTTCTACAACCCTACCTGAAGCCAGGCGGTGGGCCTCTTCAGTCCTATTCACAACAGCGTGTTACATATGCAGGAGCTGATCCGCCCGTAGTCCTCAACGATGCCTTCACCTGGTAGAGGTTCAGGGTCGTAGATGTCGGGAGAGGGGAGATTGCGCTGTTCGGCTATCTCATCCTGCCGACTCGACTTGGGAGGTCTGTGTCGACTCTTCACGTGCAAAGGGTGCAAGAGACTTCTGCTCCCAATAGCACCAATTAGTCTAGATATCGAGACCATACATAAAACTAGGTTGGGACAAGGTTTGCCGTCGTGTTAGGAGGGCATGGCTTTATTTGATTTGTATGTAATCTTTGCCTCTCGGATTCGCGTTCGATTAATTCCCACGCAGACACGATGTCTATTCTGATCAGGACATCCCCCCAGCGTAGGTGAGTTATGATGATTGATGGCAGATATGAGTGCTTGGGGTTTTATATGATTTAGAATTTCATTTCGCCCTTGGGAGCAGAAGTCTTTTGCGATGATTTTACTTTTGCGAAGGGACACTCGGTCACTGAGGAATCTTTGTGTAAGACGATTGATGGTCCTAGTGGACGTCCCGCAGGTCGAACCCGACACTTGCTGCAGGAGAGGATTTCTATCGTTCTCTAATGTTATATCCATCATTGTTTGTCACGGAGGCGTGCGGGAGGCCAAGGCCGAATCGAACCTTTGCCTCTCGGATTCGCGTTCGATTAATTCCGATCAGTAGGTGAGTTATGATGATTGATGGCAGATATGAGTGAGTGCTTGGGGTTTTATATCCCTATAAAAGGCTACGGGCTCGACCCTATTTTCGCTCTGCGGCCGCCCTGTCGGTTGCCCCGCCTCCTCTTCCGGTCAATTTGGCTGCTTGTGAGAACCTTGCAGGGAGATCCGGAAAATTCCGGGAATTTTCAAGCTTATTGTCTAAAAATCCTAGGAATTTTGAGAATCACCCGGATCTGAAAATTCCCGGAATTTTCGGAATCACCCGGATTGAGGTTTAGGCTTTCCGGGTTGGATTTAAGGTTCCAGCGCAACAGTGATGACGTGGGTGCCCCTTCACCTTCAAGGAAATCTTCAAGGAAATCTCTTGGTCCAGGGTAGTTCCGATGACGGTCGCCGCCCGCCAGCTGTTCAAGGGGGTTCGGCCTCACCATCACATATCAACAACAGCTCTCGAAAAATCCTTGGAATTCAAGAATTTTCGGGATCCCCCGGGTTCAGGGTGTAGGGTTTTGGGGTTTATTTGTAAACGCTTGCGCGCGCCGCCTCGGCAGCCGGGCCGGCCCCAGGACAGGAAAGGAGGAAAGAGGGTTTCGCAAGAAAGGGGGGGGTGGGGGGGGGGGGTAGGGGTGGGGGGGGGTGGGGGTGCGGGGGGAAGGAGGCCCGATCCGGGTCTGCTTGTTCCAGACGCTTCTCGGCAGGAAGCCGAGGCGAATAGAAATTGTATAGGGTTTGTGTGGGAGTTTTGTCGTGTTTTGGGGGGTTTTAACAGTGTTGGCGCTCTGCAGTGGGGAGCAGTTTTCTGTTGCCCTTGTCTTGTCCGACGATGCCCCCCTCTCCGGCACTGCCGTGTTGCAACCGCAAAGTTCGGCGTAGCTTAACCGAGGAGCTTCGGCGGGCTTGGGCGCCTGACCACGGGAGTTGGCAGCCGCAGTGGAGTCCGTTGGCGGGCTTTGGGGTGCCGGGACAAGTGCGCTTTCCTTGCCGCAGACCTTGGCGCCTTTATGAGCGGCAACGTGCCACCTGGGGCCAGCAATGCTGCGCTCGCGGACGTTGGTCTGGCTGGCCATTGCGGGGGCGCAGAATAGGGGAGGCCTCAAAACCGGGCCCTCCGGCTCCAGGAACTCCGATTGGTTCTGAACGCCCGTACCCTGAGGCCAGCAGGCGCCGTCAGCGCATGATGCTGATGGCATGGTGGTTGATGGCGCGGAGGCTGTTCCTAGTCGACCGGCGCGATTCTTCTGCCCAGTTGCCACTTGCCCCTCCAGCGACCCTGCTCGAGCCCCTGGCTGGGCAAGCGTGCACAACATGCTCCACCACATTGATAGCCATCTTGCTGGCACACTCCAAGGTGATGTTCCGGCCAATTGGCTCCAAACTAATGGCCGGCAGCGGTGCCGGGTTTGTGGGCTTAGTGTCTCCACCCGACATGAGGTGCATCCTACCTGCCGGCCGCAGGATCGGGCCGGGGTGGGCGGCGGTGCCCAGCGGGCTGATGACCCCACGCTGCCGAGCTTCCATGACATCCAGGCGTGCTGTCGGAAGGTCTTTGTCCTGAGGATGCTTCCACTGCTGCTGCCCTGCGGGCCTTGCACCCAGTCCAGCCCAATCCCCAGGTCCAGTCTGCTGCAATGCCTGCCGCCCTGGAGCTTGCTCCTGATTTGGTGGGCCAAGTTCTTCGAGACTTCCCCACTGACACCGCGCCGGGAGCATGTGGCTTGCGAGTGCAGCACCTGCGTGAGGCAGGGTCACCAGGAGACCAACAAACTCTCATCTCGCACTTGACTGCCGTTGTTAACCTGATGGTGCAGGGCCAGGTCTGTGCTGACGCGGCTCCTGTCCTCGCTGGTGCTGTGCTTGTGGCCGTCCCCAAGCCAAAGGGGGGAGTGCGACCCATTGCCATTGGTGAGGTGTTGCGCCGGCTGGTCGGCAAATGCTTGATGCGTTCCGTGCGAGAGGATGCCGCCATTACCTCTGCCCAGCTCAAGTTGGAGTCGGGGTACCCTCTGGGCCTGAAGCGGCTGTCCACACCACCCGCGCTTGGATGCGGCGCCAAGCCTCAACCTCCGGTAAAGTGCTTGTGAAGCTGGACTTTGCCAATGCTTTCAACACAGTGTCCAGGCAGGCGGTGGTGGATGCGGCCGTGGCCCATTTTCCGGGCCTCGCAAGATGGGCGGCGTGGTGCTATGGGCAACCGACCTCGCTCCAGTTCGGGCCCTCGGTCAAGCTGCAATCAGCTGCGGGCGTTCAACAAGGCGACCCTTTGGGCCCACTTCTCTTCGCTGCCGCCTTACAGCCACTTGCTGAGGCTCTCCGGGCCAGCCCGCTCGACCTGGCCCTCTTCTTTCTTGATGATGGTGTGATCGCTGGCGACGTAGCAGACGTTGGCCAGGCTTTGAGTGAGGTTCAACGACGGGGGGCTGCGCTTGGCTTACAGCTTAACCTGTCCAAATGCGAGGTCGTGGGAGTCGGACGGCTGGATGCTGACATGTTGCGGTCCCACCTGCCGGATGAGCTCCTCTTCAAGCCTGATGGCACCAGCCGCTTGCAGTGGAACTTCGAACTTCTGGGAGCCGCTGTGGGCGATGTCACATTCCATGCTATCCATGCCACGAGCAGGGTTAATCGCCGTTGCTGGAGGCGCTTGGTGAGTTAGAGGACGCCCAGGTAGGGTTGCGCTTGCTGAGGTCTTGCGCAGGCCACTGCCGGGTGGTGCATAGTATGCGGTGCTGTCCGCCACGCGGGCTGTCGCCAGCGCTTCAGCTCTTTGACTCCTCAGTCAGGGACTGCTTCGCTGCCCTCACTGGACTGCATCTCGATGCTGCGCAATGGGAACAAGCTGCCCGGGCACTCTCCTATGCTGGCCTGGGTCTCCGATCCACCACAGCTGATGCCCCAGCAGCATTCCTTGCCTCACTCGGCGCCTGCCTCGACACCTGCCGGGCTATTGACCCCAGCTATGCTGACGCTGGGCTCGCTGTGGAGGTTGAGGTTGTCGAGGCGGTCGATGCTCTGAACCGCAACAGGGCTGCGCCCCTCGCTGCCCATCTGGCGCTCGGCATGAAGCAGAAGTCCCTCACTGCAGCGACTGACGAGGCGAGCTGGGTCCGTCAGCTTGCCAGCTGCTCGCTGACGTCTCGGGCCCTGCTTCGATCTGAGGCTGAACCCGGCGCGCGGGCCTTTCTGGCGGCCACTCCTTCAGGTCCCAAGCGCATCGAAACTGCCCTCTTCGTCACGGAGCTCCGGCAAAGACTTGGAGTCCCGGACGCTGCCGCTGACGCTTGGTGCCCCAAGTGTGACGGCGTCCTGGATGCGCTCTCTTTACATGCCGCAACCTGCAGCGCCACAATGCAGTTCGCGACCTGCTCTGCAGGTGGGCTGAGCGAGCGGGCCTGTGCCCAGAGAAGGAGCGCCCAGGGCTTCTTCTCCCACAGCGCCCTGAGGAGGCTGGCAATGCTTTGCGGCGCCCCGCGGATGTGTACTTGCCCTGCTTGCGGGGATCTCCTGCTGCCCTTGACCTGGCCATTACGGCCGCACAGCAGCAGGAGACTCTCGCCCAGGCGGGTAACAAGGCACTTGCGGCTGCCCAAGCCTATGCTCAACACAAGGCGGCTCACTTGGACACAGCTCGCTTGTGCGAGTCTCAAGGCATCAAGTTCCTTCCCATGGTGGTGGAGAGCAGTGATGCATGGGAGCCGGCTGCGAGCAAAGTACTCCTGCAGATATCCCGCGCCGCGGCTGCGCGCACAGGCGCTGACGCCGCTCTCCTTCACGCCGATCTGCTGCAAGAACTTTGTGTGACAATCCGCGCTCACCGCGCACGTGCAGTGCTGCGCCGTCGAGCGGAGCTAGTGGACGAAGCGCCACTGCCATGCTGGCAGACATTCGTGACGTTGTTCTTTACATGTTTGCCCCTTGAGATCCTTTGCAACGGAGTGTGAGCCACCCCCAGAGCTTACATGTGTGGAGACTTAGTTCTGGGTCAGCTGTCCACAGGGTGGTGTTTATAGGATTCGTTTTGCGCGCCAGCCTCTTTGGGTTCTGTCGGGTGTGGTGGGGGGTGGGTGGTTTTGGGGTGCTGAGGGGTTGGGGCTGAAAGGCTGGGGTTTTGGGGGGTTTTCCCGAATGCCCGTGGTGGTGGTCCCGTGGTGGTGGTCCCGTGGTGGTGGTCCGTGGTCCCCTGGTGGTTCGTCGTGGTGGTCCCACAGCGTGGTGGTGGTCCCGTGGTGGTGGTGCTCCTTTGGTGGTGGTGGTCCTGTGGTGGTGGTCTGTCGTGGTGGTGGCGGTGTCCGTGGTGGTGGTGGTGGTGGTCCCTGGTGGCCGTGGTGGTGGCCGTGGTGGTGGTCCGGTGGTGGTGGTCCTATGGTGGTGGCCGTCGCGGTGGTCCGTGGCGGTGGTCCGTGGCGGTGGTCCGTGGTGGTGGTCTCGTGGTGGTGGTTCCGTGGTGGTGGTCCCGTGGTGGTTGTCTCGTGGTGGTGGTGCCGTGGTGGTGGTCCCGTGGTGGTGGTCCCGTGGTGGTGGTCCGCGGCGGTCGTGGTGGTTGGTCCGTGGTGGTGGTCCGTGCCGGGGGTCCGTGCGGGTGGTCTGTGTTGGTGGTCGTGGTGGTGGTCTCGTGGTGGTGGTCTTGTGGTGGTGGTCTTGTGGTGGTGGTCTCGTGGTGGTGGTCTTGCGGTGGTGGTCTCGTGGTGGTGGTCTCGTGGTGGTGGTCCGTGGTTTACATTATATCATATTTTGCGATGAACATGATAGTTTCGGGTTCGTGGTTCTTATTAGTTTGTTTTTGCTTTTGTTGTGTTGGTTTGGGTTTTGTTGGGTGCGGTGGGGGATGGGTGGTTTTGGGGTGGGAGAGGCTGGGGCTGAAGGATTGAGGGGGGTGTGGGGAAGGCCGAGGGCTTGGATTTGGGGTTGTGGTTGAGGGATTGGGATTTGAGGGGTTAGGGTTGAGAGGTTGAGGAGGATTTGATGAGGGATTGTTTAGGGTTTCGGGGGGAATGATTGAAGGGAGGTATTATTGAAGGGAAGAAATCTTAGAGGGAGGGATCTTCGGTGTTATTGAGAAATTATTGAGGGATGATTGTGTGATTATTGA